CGCGAACATGCCGTAGGTGCGCAGTGGGGCCAGCTCGCCATCACTGTCCACAAAGCGCAGGTCACTGGGGGCGGCAGCCGCCGAGGTGAGATCTCGGGGATCCACGAAGGTCACCCGGGCCTCCACGGCCCCCGAGTAGGGCTCTCCGTCGGCCGTTCGGAAGGCTCCAGGTGGGAGGACCAGCTCGCCCACAGGAGGCGCGTCTTCCAGCTCCCCCAGGGGGAGCGTGTTGCTCTGGCTGGCATCTAAGATGACGGGGGATTTCTTCCGCATGGCCTTGACCTCGTGGTACACACCAGCGCCTCGAGGGTCGAAAGGCAGGACCCTGACAACGTCCATGAAATCGCCACTGGGTTCCACGAAAGTCACCACCAGGCGCTGGGTAGAGCGGGGCACCTCGATGGTGAAGTCGCCCTGGTAGGAGGTAAAGCCGATGGGCTCGAGACCCAGCAGGATCTGGGCAAATCGCAGCGGCTCCCCTGTGTCAGCGGCCAACACACGGCCCCGGACCAGCCCGCGAGGGGGCGGACATTTCTGGCAGCCACACTCGGCCACCACCTTGACAGGAAGGACGTAGCTGGAGCAGTGGATCTGCCTGCTTTCCAGGCGGCGCACGGAGCAGCACCGGGAGCCTGCATCCCCACACCTGGGGCCAGAGCCTGCTGGGCCGGGGCAGAGGGTGTCAGGGCAGAGGCCCACATCCAGATAGGCGGGGCCACTGCCCGGCTGACTGCAGTCGTCGGGGAGTTTGATCAGGTGCTCACGAGGCTGGGGGTCACAGGCTGGCTGTCCCGGAGCTGGAGAGCAAGAAACCAGCCAGATCAGGGGAAGGGGAGGACTCCATTAGAGGCCAAGGGTGGGGGCTTGGACTGGGGTCAGGGGATCAGTGGGGCCTTGGGATCAGACTCAGCAAGGTCCAAAATCAGTTTGCCATTGGGGCTCCATCTGAGGTTGAGTTAGGACTCGCTGGGGGAGGTGGCAGGGTGCTCACCAAGCACGATGAGCTCAGCAGCACCAGAGAGCACAGAGCCCGCGTCATTCCACGCTTTGCAGTGGTAGGTGCCTGCCTGGTCTGGACGCAGTCCCCGAAGCTCCAGGTGCGCCCCATACCTGTGCTCTCGCCTGTCCAGCAGGGTCCCGTTGTGAAACCTGGGTGGCGGGTGGGCAACACCATGGGGGCCCTTGGCACAGGTGTGGGCCTACACCGTCCCCACCCAGAACACAGCCCAGGGAGGAGGCAGAACAGCTCCCTCCTGGTCTCTGAGGCACCAGATACCATGAGAAATCCAATCCAATACCAAAGCTGGCACGGGGCCCTTGAGCACGGGTCAGGGCACTCACCAGGAGTATTTCTTGGTGCCTGAGGCTTTGCAGCAGAAGGTCACATTCTGGCCTGCCTCTCGCACTCGGGACTCGGGGTGCTTCACCAGGTGGGGCTTCTCTGAGGGCAAAGGTGGCAAAGGTCAGGGCACTGCCCCATCCCAACTCCTCCCAATGACACTTCCCAAGAGTAGCATCCATCCTCTCCTTCTAGGGACGCCCTATTCCCCCAAGTCAAGTTCACCCCACTCTGCTCAACATGATGCCCCATCTTAATGCTTCTCTGCAACTTATGTCTTACCCCACGCCTTCAATGACTGCATCACATCTCATTTCTTCCCCCCATAACCTTCACCTATCACACCGCCCCAATCCCAAGTGCTTGGCGTCACCCAGAACTTCCTCCCCAGTTTCTTGATCCCCTTTGCCACAAGGCACTTACCTAACTTGTCAAGAACAATAGTGACCACAGCAGATATGGAGCTGTTGGCCTGGGCCTGGGCCGTACCAGCAGAGAAGCCATCCACTTGGGCACTGACGTTGGTCTGGCTGCTGGCACAGACTCCAGGCATCCGGAAGGTTCCATGGGCATCGCTGGTGGCCACAGTGCCAGGCCAGTCTCTCAGGGAGACCTTGGCCCCTGGTAGCGGCCGGCCAGATGGAGTGACCACCGAGCCCAGGAGGATGTGATTGGGGCATCCACACGTTTTGGGGCTGCACCCTGGAGGACACAGGGAGGCAGAGGGGCAGAAGGGCCTACACAGCAAAGGTGCCTCCGCATAGCCCTGCTTAGAGCAGCCCCTAGTGTGAAGGGTGGGATGGGGCTGAGTGGTCAGGGCCGGACAGGGGGAGGGATCTGAGGTCCAGAGGGGTGAGGAAGATGCCCTGTGAGGGAACAGGAGAGGTAACTCCTTCCAGCATGAAAGAAAACGTCCAGGCGGGGGCTGGGGGCCCAGCAAGGGGCTGGGTCTTGAGCCCAGATCTCCCTCCCCTCCCAACACCGCGGTTTCTCCACCAAATGGAAAATTCCACTGGAAACTTCAGGGCAGAGACGCCACAGGGAGAGCAGAGCCAGGCGGGTAGGGTGGGGACCCCACCACCCCATTGGCCATCATGCTCCCCCACCCGACTGCGGGCTCTGCCGGCACAGTCTCCAGAGCGTGTTTGTGAAGCCCAGGCCGGATCGGAATTTCCAGTCGCCTCCTGGCTGGCCTGGTGTCTGGCTCTGGGAAGGCCTGGTATCGTGTCTGCCAGGGTGTGAGCACGTGCCCATGTGGGCGTGTGGGACAGGCAGGGGCTGCGAATGCCGCGTGTGTAGCCCCCAAGTGCGTCTGTGTGTGTCCGTGTCCACGGGGACATCCCCACACTCGGCCGTGCGCACAGGAGAAGCGCCCCCTCAGATGGGCCCAGGCCTGAACACGACCCCGGGGATGTTCACCTGTACACATTCACCAATGGTCCTCGAGAGGAGGAGCCAAAAGGAAAGGCAGGGCCAATCTCCTCGTGAACCGAGTCCGGGCCCTCCAGGCCCCGCCCCCGTACCCAGGCCCCGCCTCTCTTCTCCAGGCTCCGCCTATTTAATCCTGGTCCCGCCCACCAGGCTCCACCAAACTAGCCCCTCCCTTCTAGGTTCGTCCCTCTACCGGCCCTGACCCTCCTACCTGGACACCGAGGCCGCACACACTTCTGTGCCTCCAGGGGACGCCCGGGACATGCATCCCCAGTGGGGCTTGGGCAGCGGCGGCGGCGCAGACGACGACCTGGCCCGCAGCTCCCTGAACAGGGACCCCACGGGCCCCACGCTCCCCACGCGGCCTCTGCAGGGAGGGTGATGGGGCGAGTCAGGCGGCCGCCCACCCAAGGGACTGCATCTTGAACAGCTGTTGACAGGGTGGGACCGGAAGACTCCCCCGCCACGTGCACCCAAGGGCAGTGCTCCGAACAGAAGCCCTGCCCACTGCTCCCCGCAAGGCTCCCCGAGGCGCACTGTCGAAGGTGCAGTTGAGGTACCTCCCCCCCTCCCTCCCCGAGGTTAACCTGCTGTTCCACCTGCGTCTCAAACACATTGTGGGCTCAAAACACTCCGGCACAGGACGGAGCTGGACAAGTGAAGGCAGCGAGAGGGAGATGTGCTCCTCGGGGCGCCTTCCTGCCCGCGACCTGGGGCCCAAGCTAAACCCAGCCTCTCCCTGCAGAAGCTCCGCCCCAACAGGTCCTGCCCAGCAAGGCCTAAATCCACAAAAACCTGGGACCCCCTCCCACCCCGCTTCCCCGCCCCTCGAAGCCCCGCCCTCACCGCGAGGGCAGCGGAAGCGCACGTGGTAGTTGGAGCAGCGGCGGCCGCGCGGCTGCTCGCGGTTGAGGCACCAGAAACCGCGCGTGGGGTTCAAGTGCACACGCTCGCCGACTGTGGACGGCAGGGCCCAGTCCGTGGTGCGCGCCTCCAGCGCCAGCGGCCGCGGGCACACGCGCGCCGGCCCGTAATAGAAGCGGATGGCAGCCAGGCTCTCGAAGTCGCCCTCGCCGCCCGGGTGATCCACGTTGAACCAGGACGTCCACTCGCTGGCCTCTGTGGGCACCATAGGCACTTGGACCCGGGCCGAAGCCTGCCGGGCCCGATCTGCCTGCTATGGGCCTTACGTGCTAAGTGGGTGTCCTCCCCTCCCACCCCAGTGAGCGAGCAGCGCCGGGCTAGCTCCACCCACCCCGGCCCCACCCTGATGCGGAGCCCTCCAAAGCAGAAGGAGCAGTGAAGGGGTCGCCGGAAGGCTGCCCAGTGCCTGAGCTGGCGCATCAGTGCACGCAGAGATCTTGCCACTGTCTCACCTGTCCTCACCCTCAGAATTCAGAACACGTGAGGCGAGATATGAAGGCTGCTGGAGAGGCCTGCCTGCCACCAGCCCTAGCTGTGGCTTTCCACTGCCTGGCAGCTTCTTGTTAGTGCCAGCCCAGCCGGGGCCTTGCTCACTGAACCCACCACGGGTGGGAAGGGCTGGCCTCCCATATCAACCCCCCAGAATCCTTTTCCGGTTCAAGAGCGATCAAATAGAACTTTCCTGGCCTGGGAACTGGAGACCCAGGTTCCAGAACTCCTGCTTTCCTGTATGGCCTGGGCAGGTGGTCCCACCATCCTACCACCATCCCTCTTCAGTTTCCTCCTTGACAAACAACCCGATTCTCACCTCCCTGCTCCTAACACAGATCTCTTGGGGGCACCACTTCCAGGGGTTGTCATGTCCAGAATGGCACTGGGCTCTTCACCCAGCTCGTGTCCCCTCCTCATATGTCCCACCAGCCAGAGCCTAGACAACAGTCCACAGCAGAGCCAGGGCTTGGACCCTGGCTAACTCACCTTCCCAGTCCTCCAGGGCTGGCGAGGGCTGGCCAGGGTGCAGCGATGGACCTTCGAGGCCCCACATGGTCTCCGTGGGCTCCTCAATAAGGGTCGTGCCTGTGGAAGAGATGAGGAGTGGGAGGGAGGAAGGAACGTTGACGGGAATCCCTGTGAACACTTTTTATGCAAGGTGCTGCCATGATCATCCCCATTTCACAGGGGAAAACCGAGGCTCTTAGAAGCCAGAGCCCAGCTCTGGCTGACCCCAAGGACTGCAGCACCCCGGCCTCCAGGAGGCCTCCTCTGACCCAAAGCCCCAGGCCCATAGGCCTTGGAAGTCTGTCCACGCTCCTCCCCAGACCAAGTTCTCCCCCTAGATGTGTTCTGCCCTCGGGCTGAGCCGCATTCCCCTTTGTGCATTTGCCTGTTGGAAGTTGCTCCCTCACTCTACCTTCCATCTGCACTCGGGGCCCATGCTGCCAGCAGGAGGTCTTTGGAATTGAGCCTGGCTTCTCAGGCCTCGAGTTGGGCTGGCCAGTGACCTCAGACAAGTCCCTTCCCCCTTGAAGCCTCAGTCTCAATGGGCCCCATTCCCACTCCACCGAGTGTTGCAGAGATGACTTTCTTTTCTGAATGGGAGTTGTGTGTGGAAGAAGGGAGGGGGTGGGTAAGAGAGGCCAGGACCAGATGATCCAGGGTCCAGGCGCTGGGGCTGAGGTTGAGATAGGTACCCACGGTCACCGGGACCCAGAAAAGCCTAGAGTTCATATCCACATTTCGAGCGCCCCTGCCGTCTCTTGGAGGAGAGAAGAAAGTGGGGAAGGTCTGTTCGCCCAGGCGGTCCTGGGCTCGTCTCCCAGGTGCCCTCTCACTCCCCCCACACCCTCGGGTCGGGAAGCGAGGGTCCCTGGGTTCTCTCTCCAGACGCGGGGGGCACGCCAGGCCCCCTGCCAGACGTCAGGCGCCTGTGGGGCTGGGCTGGGGACTGG